ACCGATAGTTCTATTGCTGACTTCTTGTACTAAGCTACATAGGAAGGTGGGGCTGCTCAAATCCGTTGCGCAACTGTGCGTAAGGGTGAAGCCGCAATCGCTAACGACTGTATCATTGAGGTGATCATCCTCGTTGAGGTGGTAGGCGCGTGCGGAGCACGGGCAATTTCATTGGAATTCTGCTACAGCAGCCGAGTAAAGTCCGTCCCTGTGTGACGAAAAACCCGGTGTGTCGAAAATGACCAATCGGATCATGAGGGTCGTAGAAAAGTCCGTGATCCTTACGATCCGATTGGTCATCTTCGGCACACGGGGTTTTTCGTCGCACAAGGACTGACTTTAGATAAGGTCCGTCCCTGTGTGCCGAAAAACCCTGTGTGCCGAAAAACCCTGTGTGCCGAAAACGATCAATCGGATCGCGACGGTTAGAGAGAAGTCCATAATCCTTGCGATCCGATTGGTTGTTTTCGGCACACAGGGTTTTTCGGCACGTAGGGACGGACCTTACTCGGATAATTCTGTTATACCGATTAAGTTTCCGTAGCAGAGCCGAGCATCCGCACGGATCAAATATAGTCTTTCGGCTCTATTTGAACGGATCAAAACTGTCACTACAGTCGCGCAGCACTCTCTTTTCTATTTCATTTTTCAATTTGTGAAGAGACACTATGACTAAACTACTTCGAATTCAGAGGGGCCCTTCAGGCACCCCACCACTAGTTCTTGTTCATGGTGGTGGGGGCACATTATATGAATACTTCTCACTCCATAGTATGAATCGCGATGTTTGGGGGATGCCTTATCCAGGTTATGGCATTGATCAAAAGTCCACTAGCAGCTTGTCTGAGATGGCGAAAACATATATAATGATGTTAAGAAATACGATATCTAGTGGGGATATAATACTTGGAGGTAAGTGCTTGTTTGGAGAATCTTCCTCCCTCTGAGTCTATTTCAATCGTTCTCATTTATAGTTTAGGTTGGTCTTCTGGAGGCTGTTTTGCACTCGAGATAGCATATGCGCTTAAAAATGACCACAATATAAGGGTTCTAGGTCTAGTATTCATAGACAGCGTCTACCCCGAGTTTAGGCCTGATTCTTCTGAGACGGAGACTTACTTCGTAAATTTCACCGAAAGTAGCCAAGGAGAAACTCGCAAACGTGTCCAAAAGTCCATGGACGAGATAAATTTCAAACTGTCACGCTGGCGCGGTCCAGACTGGTCACAATCGGTAGTCGATGAACAAGGCGAACTTCAACATACTTCAGACTCTGTTATTCCCCTTTTGGCTATTTTGATTCGGGCAATCGAGGAAACATCACCGAATCTGAAAACTTGCAGATCGGGCCCAAAAGGATGGCTTCTTGGCTGGGACGAATATAATAAGAACTTCTTCTATCAGGTTATCAGTGTCCAGGGTAATCATTTCACTTTATTCGAAGACAAAAACGTAAGTTTCGTTCTAGCTGACATCACTAAATTATAATGCTAATATATCGCTTAAGGTTGTTCAGGTGACCAAAGCATTGAGAAAAGCATGTTGGACTATAGAAAGACAGTGAGAGACATACTTGGGAGTAAGCAAGCGTGCTTGCTTGCTTGCTTGATACACTTATTATTATTATTCCATTATAGTCCTGTATCAGCCGTTGGCTATGTAGGACTTTGGCCAAAGGCCGTTCTATCTAACTAGTTACAATTTGGTACGTTATGCTATATTGCGTGACTGTGGTGCTTCGGCCTTTATCTAGCTAAGCTTTAACTAGCTTTGTAGATGCCTGGTGCTAAAGAGCAGTTTGGTAACAGGAAGAGATGTAGGGGAGCTAGGCTACCTTCCAGCGGGCTCTCTTAGGAGGTAGGAAATAGTGCTAATAAAATCAACTTTGTTCTTCTTTTATTATTATTATTATTATTATTATTTTGGTTTTACGTCCTGTCTCAGCCGGTGGGCTATATAAGACGTGCAGGCTAGGCCCGCAAGTATCTACGTAGTGCTATCACTTTGGTGTAGGTGGGGGAGGGGGCTATCTAAATCGAGGTGAGGCTCGTAGCCTAGTCTAGAGGGAGGTAGAAGGGGGTCTTGCGGGTAAAAGAGAGAGGTAGGGTGGGTGTAGGGCGAGGCCACCTAGTATAGGTGTTGCCCTAGTTCTCGAGGTTTCCTTTGTGCCAGGCCTGTGTTGCAGCCCTAGTTTCTTCAATAAAGGCAATAGTAGCCTGTATGCCTACGCTCGTGTTTAGCAGGAAGGCTAGCGAGTAGGGGGTCCTTGCTCGCCTCCTGCATCTTTATCCTAGCC